GGGCGGAGCATGGAAGAATTAGCGTGTTTCACGGCCCTGTATCTCCATTCCTGGGCATGTTTGGGCGGGGGGACCACGACACATCGACAGCTGGGGGGCTGATAGTCTCATACACCCTCAATGTGTTGAGCGTACTATGTGTCTTTAAGGCAGGGCTCTTTAAGTGGAAATTGATTCTTACAGGTAGGTATGGTCAACTTTCTGAGTGGTATTGGCTCCAAATGGTAAAACGAAGCGCTATAGGAAGACTTTTAATCGCAGAAATCATTCTCGTTTGATCTTTAAAGCATTCTTTACTCGTTACGAGATAATCCGTGAATTACTTCCTATTTTTTTCGTTAACCTTCATTTTTCCAGAGATATTGAGAGCAAGTATAGCGAAGAAAGCAATGCAATGTTGGATAGCAGCTGGAATGTATGGCGTAACGTTGATCCTTGTGTTATGGCAAAACAAGTACAATACAACTACCGTTTTCTAAGCTGCCTCGTTGCTGTTGATGCTGGTGTTTGTTCATAATTTCATCTCTTTCTCGTCTACTAGATGGTCCTGCATAATCGATTAGGTATTACAATCTGTGTAGTAATCTCTGTCGTGAGATGAGACCGTTGTGTTTCCTCGTTTTTCAATAACACAAAAACGTTACATTCCAGAATTTGCATAGGAAAGGTGAGAGCTTCTGTGAGTTTGTTGTGTTTCACTTGAATACATTTGTATAAATAGATTGTCTATGTTTACATATTATCACTGTATGCTATACATATATCGTAATGAAACTTCTCAGGATGACGCCTGTACTTGGTCGCATCGTTCTGTTCGTCACTAGTTGAGAAATTTAGTTGATAAAACGAAGATTTCATTCAGTGATCATGTCAACGGCTATACGGAATATTAAATTCGAAGTTGCTCTCAGAGCGCGTTCAGACCTCACGATCGCGCGAACTGCATAGCGCGATCCAGTTCGCGCGATCGCGAAGTCTGAACGCGCTCTACAAGGGAAGGATGGTAGGTCG